GTGGGGGAGTTTGGAGGAAGTCACCTGAGAACACTGGTCTTTGCTTAAATCGGCTCCTTAAAACCATGTAGGGCTATCCAGCTTGGTTGGAAGATGGGGGTGTCTATGTGAAAATAGGTGGAGATAGAACTGAAGGTGCTGGGGGTGGGAGGGTTGCTCAAAAATGTAAGCAGGGTGGCAGAAGAACCTTTTTCCCAGTCTGGGTTCTGAGGCAGTGGAGTGCAGAGCAATCTCGGTTCCATTCGCATTCGCCTTCCTCCTTCCGCCCCAGGACCTGAGGCCAATCTCTTTGAAAGATCCTTATGCTGCTCTGTCATTACTGACCAGAGGGGCTGAGTTGGGGCTTTTTAGGACACCTAACCTTTCCACCCCATCTTCACTCTTGGAAATCATCTCCAAGAACAAATGGCCTCGAGAAGCTCTGAGGATCTCAAACACAAAGGAATGTGTAGCTTAGTATCTATGCTGCCCAGAGAAAGCAAAGAATTAGATTAATCAGGGACTTTTCTAAAAGAATCTATTTATCTGGCTTGACCTAAATATTTTAAGCGAAAGAGTGTTTAGGTGCAGTTGAAAGGAGTATAGTCTAGAGTCACTTTGTGGAATAGAAGTCAACGTAGCCAAAGCTAGAAGTAGCCCCCTCTGCATTTACTGCAGCTCCGCATCCCATACGCCTGCACCTGGCTTTCCAGGACACGGGGCAGGAAGGAGTAATAAGGGGGTGGAAGAACTGGACAAAATGACCTTGACTGACTCCAGTTTCCTGTGTAAATTTAACATTTCCTCCCAGGACCTGATTTTATAGCTAGAAGATAATGATTAAATTATATATTATGTGGGAGAAATATCAGAGAATCCAAACTCAAAATAATTGTGCTTCAGGGAGCCTAGAATACATATGTCTTCTTCCTTTAGCGATTTAGAGGAAGGCGAGATTAGTAGCTTCTTACTTTCTCAGCCATTTGGATTTGGGTTTTCTGGGGGAGGGGCAGGTGGAGACTGGATTAGGGAGAAAGGGAGCAGGTTTTAGGCGAGGACTAATCATTCCTAACACTACTTCCTGGGCACTAGGCCTGCATCCGTTTCTTTGCTCTTTCAACATTGTGAGATAGTTGTTATTAACCCCATTTTACCAATGAGAAACCACGGACTCAGATGAGTTGCTAATGTTACTCAGTGGTTTCCAACCCAGTGCCCCAACGCTTTTTCTTACTTTCTTTTTTTTTTTTTTTTTTTTTGAGATGGAGTTTCACTCTGTCACCACGCTGGAGTGCAGTGATGTGATCTCAGCTCACTGCAACCTCCCCCTCCTGGGTTCAAACAATTCTCCTACCTCAGCCTCCCTAGTAGCTGTGACTACAGGCACGCACCACCATGCCCAGCTAATTTGTATGTATTTTTTTTTAGTAGAGACGGAGTTTCACCATGTTGGCCAGTATGATCTTGATCTATTGATCTGCCCACCTTGGCCTCCCAAAATGCTGGGTTTACAGGCGTGAGCCACTGTGCCTGGCCTAACCCAACCCAGTGCTTTTTCTACTGCACTTGCCTGTGGGAACAACTGGAGAGAGATTGGGCAGGGAGGGTAAGACGGGGTTGAGCTAAGATTGGAGGACATGGGGCACAGGAGGGGGAAGGTGCACCAAGAGAAAAGCCCTGCCTGTGAGCAGGGGCTGGGAGCTGGGATGAGAGAAGCAGCACCAAGAAAGATAGGATTCTTTTAAAAACAAACAAACAAACAACAACAACAACAAAAACCTTTCATGTAGCTTGTTGGAAATGTGAATTTGGGATCCACTGAGGCTCATTCACATGAGACTTAGAACCTGTATCAGTAACCACGATGGGTTTACATCATTATTGTTGTCTCCTGAGGTAGCGCATTTGAGCTACCTCAGGATATCCAAAGGAGAATAGAGGGAACTGGGGGGCTGAGAACTGATGCCCTACAAAACCAGCACCTCAGTGGAAAGGAGGAATAGAGCCCAGGAGGGATGTGGGGGTGAGGGTTTGTGTCTGCCTTATGTGAACATATGGTGTGTGCGTGTGGGTGTGTGGGTGGGGTTGTCAGGAGAGTGATGGGTGACTGTGTTTGTGAGCTGTGTGTGTCTGCTTTATGAGGGTGAGAAACTGAGTGGTGTGTGACCTGGTGTGAGGTCGGATGTGTGTGCCTCCATGGTGGGTGGGAAGCTCGGTCGTGACATTAGGGACACCTGGAGGAACAGACACTCTTGGATTTGGAAGGAGGTTACCAAATGCAGACATCACAGTGACACTGCTGAGTTCTCCCCACCCGCTCTGTACCAGATCGCATCTCCTCCAACTGAACCCCACAGGGGAACTGTGGGACGGGAGTGCAGGGAAGCCATGTTAAAAGGGGCTCAGAAAGCCCTAACCAGAGTTACCAGTTAGGAAATTTCCTCTCTTGTATAATCACACCTCTGCCTGTGTCTAAGAATTTTCAGTTCTATTCTTTAGATACTGCTACATTACTATTTTTACTGGAAACCAAATTCTAAGCTGACTTCTTTATTCATTTCTCTCCTCAGTCCCTCATTTTAATACCCTCCTATTGAATTCTAGGTCCAGGAAGCCAAAGGCAATTTTCTCTCAAATATTTGACCCAAGTGTTGCATTATCAGCCACACCCTCACTCTGGGACAAATTCTCCTCCCACCCAATTCCAGGCATGGAAAGTGTTTTGTTGATAAGTTCTTACAGTCACAGGAATCATCCTAGTCAGCAAACCGTGGGAGAGACAGAAATAGAAACAGCAAATCTGACCAAACCAAGGTTCATGTTTGGGTGTTTTCATTTATCAAGCACGCAAATCTCTGAGCCTCAATTCTGATATTTGTATAATGAGAATAAGAAACCCTTAGGATTATTGTGTGCAGAAAATGAAGAATTCTATATAAAAGATCGTATACTGTTATGACACTCATGGCTAAAGGGTAATTCTTAGATTGCAGAAAGATTAAAGGCTACAGTTTGGAAAGACTGATAGCATATGATTGATTTCAGAATGTAAAAAGGGAAGCTCTCGGGCGTGTTCCTGACTGAGGATCTCATAACATTTAACTTGAGGAACTTCCTCCTTTTCCAGCTTTGGGAGTCAAGGTGAGACTCCCGGGGACCTAGGTAGGAAGTATCTGAAGACTTGGGAGAGGAAGCACAGCCCTTGGGAAGTCTGATAAAGGGAAGAGGTTGCAGTCCACGTGGCAGAATGGCCATTGTTTCCTTTCTCCTTAATGGATATTAAGACTTATTGGGAAGAGCACTTAGGATGGGTAAACTGACTTACATAGATAAATACAGCATGTGTAAATGATAATTTCAAGTTTATGCCATTAAGCTCCTGGATTCTAAGTAACTAAAAACACAGTTTATTAAATTAAAGGACAAGTTAGGTAGTGGCTATAATTAACAAATCCTATAAACCTGCCTATCAGCATGCAGACTTGTCTTCATAATTGAGTGACTTTAAGAAGGGATGTCTTCTCTGCCTTCGCCTCACAAACCAACATCCCCCCAGTCCCCAGTGCGATTCCTGAGGTTGGTAACCCACCAGAGACACACAGGCCCCTATGTCTGAAAGTCCTTCTTGAGGTCTGCATGTTCAAGGTTTGAAAGTTGGAATCTGGTTATTTATTTTTTCACCTTCCTTCAAATCACTGGAGGGAAGGAGCAGACAAAACTATAAAAGCATTCTTGGGGCTTTGAGGAGAATGAGGAGCAGAGTTATGGAAGGAAGGGTGGGTGGGTGCATATTTAGATAGGATAGATAAGGAGAAAAGGGGAACCCCCTCCTTGCCACCCAGGCTCTCCCAGGGCCGAAGTGACACCCCCTCCTCCTCCTGCCCTAATCCCCCCATTAAGGCAGCTCTGAGTTTGTTATGACAGCGGCTGAAGGCTGCTGAATTGCTGTTTGCTGTGTCTGCTAATTGGGCTGAAGGGTTGGAGTCTGGACACTGAAAGGGACCATTGTTGCTGTTTACCTTCCACAGCCGCCTCCCTGGGGACCCTCTGGGTAAAGGGGAGCAGCAGCACCCCCTTAGGGTCATTGCACCCATTTCCTGCACAAGGGACTGCAGTAGGGAGACAGTTTGTCTCATTGCCTTAGGGTGGGTTTGAGCTTCTACAGCACAGAGGAGACAAGCCAACACCTGAGCCAGTCTCATCTCCAGGCCAGGCCTAGGGGCCATCCAGGAGCTCCCAGGAGAGAGGAGTTACATGCTTGTCTTTCTCCTCCCTACTCATTCCCTTCTTCTTTAAGGATCTTTGCTTTGCCTCTTCCTCCAGCTAATCAGACTTCACCCCTGCACCTTTTCTGACCTGCTTTCTTCTAGATCAGTGATTCTCAACTTGGTTATGCACTGAATCACCTGGGGAGCTTTTTAAAAAATGTTGATGTTTGGGCCCAGCCCTAGACCCATGAAATCAGAGTATGAGGAAATGATGCCTAGGCATCATTATTATTTAATGTGCACCTGAAGTTATGAACCACTGATGCAGACTCACCTCTCCACCTGGGAAACACACACACACACGTATGCATGTACCCACATGCCTGTGTAGGTGGAACAGACTGTGCACACACAAACACGCCCCGGCCTTTCCCCGCCTTTCCTCCCAAACTCCTGATATCTATAATACTATCAGACAGGTTGTATATCTTTTTAATTATTATTTCTAAATTCCTTGTAGGAGCCTTAGAATTTAGAACGGAATTTAGAGATCTGTACTTTATCTCCCACCTCAATCTGAGCTCTTCCCCAAGGGAAGGGACTATGATTCCACCTCCCTGTGGATGTCCAAATAGGATCTAGAGGAAGAACACGCTAACTTATCAGAGATTCGATGACTTTTGTGCTTTTCCTTCCTCAAAGTAATATTGACGATTTGGAGGTCTTCAGAGAGGAGAAACTTTCTTCAGGTATCATCTTTCTTTCCCTTTTCTTACTGTTTCCAAATGTTTTTGCTTCTTCTCTTCCCTTTAGCTTCTCACCTGGGGCGGGTGGGTGCTCCAACACCCTCCCACCCTCCTTCCTCCTTGTGGACGACAGAGCCACATCCAGCACCACGGACAGCTCCCGGGCGGTGAGTGAGATGGCTGTGCTGACCCCCTTTGAGAGGGTTAGGAGGGACCCTCCTGTCTGTACAGTCAGCTATCAAAGACTCTAAATTTTTGAATCTGTGGGATTTGTTTGCCGTCAGCCGTGGAGTCTCAGGGAGAGGCAAAGGCTGAGGGAAGTTGGCATTCTGTCTCTGGGCAATTGGGTTTGTCTTCATGTTTGGAAGTCTGAATGAGAAGGGCTGCTCCAGTAGTAGGAAGAATGAAAGTTATATTTCAAGAATGATTTAACCTAGGTCATGTAAGATACGGAGGGCATAGATCTGGTAGAGCTGAAATGAGCCTTAGATATCATCATTCCTATATTCCTCATTTCACAGATCCCATGGGAGTAGAAGAGGTGTGATCAGGTTGCCCAGCTGGTTAGCAGAAATGCCAAGATCCAGGCTCCTGAATTTCAGCCTGGCCCTTTCTATCTGTCTGATACCTCCTTTAGGAGTCTTTCTGCCTCGGTTGGGTGGAGCGGGGCTGTTGCTGGTTGGGGGAGTCTGCAGGTTGCCCCTGTTCCACAGGATGCATGACTGGGCATGTGAGGTGTTCAAGAAAGCCAGGAAAAGGTGGAACAGACTGCTACCTCTGTCTGAAGTGGTTTGGAGGGAAGGCCTCAGGGACAGGGCATACCTAGCAGTAGCTGGCAAGCCCACGGGAGAAAAGGCAAGGGGGCAACCATCTGCCAGGACACAGAGGCCAGTGGATGGCCACAAGTAGTCTCCAGAGGCCAGTGGGAGTCACGCAAACTGGAACGGGGCCTGGGAAAGGCCCTTCTGTGTGCCCAGGCCTGCTCCCCCAACACCGTGAGCCTACAAACAAAGGGACCATTCTCTCTAGGATTTGATGCTGCCATCTCCGGCTGGCAGTGCCAGGTGGTGGGGGCATCGGGGGTGTCAATCCATTATCCCCCCCCAACTCCTAGGTCCTCTGGGGCTGGATGTTGGGGAGGTGGGTGTTCCATGCTATGTTGCCACAGCAACCTCCCCCCCACTCCCAAAGTACAAAGAGAGACAGTTTTCACCCCCACCCCCAGAAAGAACCTGGGTCTGGCTGGGAATCTTCCCCTGAGAATCCTCCTTTCTGATGCACAAGCCATGGCATGCATAAGCGTCACCCTCTTTTCAGCACTGGAAGCTGAGGGTTCTGCCATCGGCAGGCCACATAGGCAAGGAAGCTGGTGCATGCAGTGTCTCTGGGCAAGGTAATGCAAGTGAGCACCAGCCCCTTATACTTAACCCCCTCTCTTCCCAAGCTCGCCTGCCCCTCACCTACCACAGCCAAGGACATCCCAGGACTTCTCAGCTGAAGCGATGGGGCTTTGACCTTCTACTCTTCCCCAGAAGTGAGGGACACCCGGCTACCTCCAGCAAACCTCCAGGCTGTGGGAACAGAGAAGAGGAGGGGGCCATTCCTGCCACCCTCCATCTGCACCCTCCGCCATTACTCATTAGGCATTCTGCCCCCTCCTTCCGCTCGTTAAGCCTGATTTGCATACATTTGCATAATACAGTTCATTTGCATTCCAGGAGGCTCATGGTAGAAGCCAGGAAAAAAGGGGAGGGGGGCTGGAGAAGAGAAAAAAAGGGAGAGATTTTGTTTTCATCAAAGTGTTGGGGGAGGGACTAGGGGGAGGTGGCAGGAAGAGGACAGAAATAAAAACTTACACTACTTTCTTTCTTTCTGCCCTCCCTCCCTGAGCTGGACTCAAATGCCAAAGAGAGATGCCAAGGGGCCAGCTTTTCTGTCCTTTTTTGTCTTGCTTCCTCCGGCCTTGGCTCCCCAGCCTGGCCCCCCACCTTGTTGGGCTGAGGCTTCGGAAAGAAAGAGGCAGGGGTAGGAGGCAAAGCTGTGGGAACGGAAGCGGAGGGTGAGGGAGGCCGCCATCTTAGGTAACCGGCGCCTGTAAGATGGCTGCCTGACCAGGTGTGCACTGAAAGCCTGCTCTGGTTAGTGGGCATGGAAGAGACTGAGGCCCTAAGAAGGACTTCCTGGCTGACCAGAAATACTGCTGAATCTTCCTGCTAATGGAATTGGGAAGAGAGGATGGAGAGAGAAGGAAGGAGGGAAAGACCAGGAATGGCAGCCCCCAGAAAAGATGTAAGGTTGAGCACAGGAGCAGGGGTGGTAGAGAGGCCTCAGCACGTGGCTTAGTTCCCAGAGGGCTTAGAGGACTGTGAGTAATAAGAAAAGTACTGGAGGAATCAGAATGGGGAATATCAGCAGGAGAAGTGAGAGGGTAGGATGTGGCCAGGCAGTATCATTTGCCAGTTTGAGGGTCTCTCTGGGGCCTGTGAAAGGTGACTGTGTACTTGAGGAAATGCTCCACCTTCTCTCCTCAGCCCAGCACTCTGGTTTCCATCTTTATAACTCTGGTAAAACTGCACCCTTTCAGAGGCCACTCATAGCCTCCTCAACAAAGACCTCTGGCCCTTCCCAAGCCCCGTCCTCCTTGACCTATGGAAAATTTTATGCTATTTTCTCAGTCTTTTCCTTTGACCTTCGGTTATTCTGTTATATCCATGATCATCTGTTCTTGGTTCCATTCATTCAGTTCTCCAGATGGACCAGTTCCTTAACTAGAAGTGGTCCCCAGGTTCTGCTGGTAGCACTTTGTTTTCTCTTCCTTCTCACTCTTCTCACCACTTTTATCACTTCAGCCATCACTTGAAGTTATAAATTCTCCCTCCTTTCTTTTTTTTCTTTTTTTCTCTCTTTCTTTCTTTTTTTTTTTTTTTCTTTTTGAGGCAGAGTCTTGCTCTGTCACCCAGGCTGGAGTGCAATGGTGCAATCTCAGCTCACTGCAACCTCTGCCTCCCAGGTGCAGGCGATTCTTCTGTCTCAGCCTCCTGAGTAGCTGGAATTACAGGCACGTGCCACCACACCAGGCTAATTTTTGTATTTTTAGTAGAGACAGGGTTTCACCATGTTGGCCAGGCTGGTCTTCAACTCCTACCTCAGGTGATCCACCCTCTCTGGCCTCCCAGGGTGCCAGGATTATAGGTGTGAGCCACTGCACCCAGCCTCTCTCCCTCGTTTCTTTAGTCTTGACCTGTTTTTTGTTTTTTGTTTTTTGTTTTGAGATGGAGTCTCACTCTGTCACCTAGGCCGGAATGCAGTGGCGCAATCTCGGCTCACTGCAACCCTCCTGGGTTCAAGCGATTCTCCTACCTCAACCTCCTGAGTAGCTGGGACTACAGGTGTGCGCCACCATTCCCAGCTAATTTTTTGTATTTTTAGTAGAGACGGGGTTTCACAGTGTTAGCCAGGATCATCTCAATCACTTGACCTTGTGATCCACCCACCTCGGCCTCCCAAAGTGCTGGGATTACAGGGGTGAGCCACCGCGCCCAGCCTAGTCTTGACCTCTTTTAAACTCTGGATTGACACCCCCAACTGCCAACTACCACCTGTGGTCCTGCCATTTGTCCCCAGTTCAAGGATTAGAACCGTATATCTGCTTGGCCAAGCCTGGATCACATGCCTAGGCTCTAGCTGCAAGGAGGGCCCAGAGAGTACCCTGTCTCTTATACACATCTAGATGTGTATAAGAGACAGCTTCCTGGCTGACCAGAAATACTGCTGAATCTTCCTGCTAATGGAATTGGGAAGAGAGGATGGAGAGAGAAGGAAGGAGGGAAAGACCAGGAATG